TTTTTGAAAATGGCTTTTCCAATTTTAAAAATGGGTTTTTTCGATATTTAGTAAAGCAACCGGCCCATTTTTTCAAAATATTTAAATTTGAGCAAAACGACACAATAAATGTGAATTGAAACTCAACAACACAGTAGTAGTACCACCAGTAATGGTACTAGCAAGTGAGAATGAGTGATAACTTTATTTAATTTTTCCCTGTTGCAGGGGACCCTTTATTTTATTCATTGTAAGGGCACTTGGTAACGTGCCAACTGAACATGACAACAAAATATATGGGAACTTAAAAACGTGAGTAATTCAGTCAGAAACACGAGTAAAAATTAAATATGAAGACCGAAACTTACCAAAGCTGAGATGAGAAAAGCTGTGTTCAGGGCGGAAGCAGATCGTATGAACGTCTCATTCTCCTTCAAGAAGGTTCTCATCCGTTGGGACCGACTCATTTCTATGGTGGGTGTCCTTAAAACTTTTCTTATAAAATTCCGATTTCTGAAGTAATATTCATACTAAGTAGCGACGGAAAGTAATCACGAGTAGAGGTTTAAAATAAACACTTCCTCATTTTACAACTGCCTTCGTCGGTTTTTCGAACAGAACAATTTTGAAAAAAAAGTGGAACTGTAATTCAAGAAAGTAGTATTCGGTGTTGCGGTGGGGAAAATTACTGGTAGAGCTATTATTAGTTATTTCCTGCTCAAATGCAATTGAGCTAGGCTGTGTTTAACTTTCTTACTACTCGTATACATGTTTCACACTTACTGGTAAGAAAGTTTATCAATTCTTATAGTAGACTACTTTATTTTATTTATTCGAGAGAGAAAAAATCTAGTCAAAAAGGAAGACCTCCATCATTACTTTTAAGTTGTAGATTCTTTTCAAAGCTATTATTTACCATGGCATGTAGGTTATGGAAGGTCCTTCACAAGTTAATACTTAGGAAACTTCCATAATCAACTCTAAGCACAGTAGCGTACGTGACTTGGTGAAAAAAGTATTTCAAAAAGCTATTGTATTCCGAGGAAAGAACGATGTTGTTGACAATAGATAGAAGCTGTAGAGGGGGGCTACAGAATTCTGTCTGTCAGTGATATGGCATGTCTAGTGAAACGTGACTTTCGGCTGGACACAATTACTAGGGAGAGTTAAGCAGACGAGTGCCACTTGTGGATTTCACCCTTGGGCATCCCAAGGTTTCTAGGACTGTTCGGGTTCACGGGTTCTGGAAAGCAGGGTAAAATGTGGGGATGCACAAATCTACCCCCATGGTTTTCCACAACGATGGGCCAGTCGTCGATGTCCGTCCCATTTTATAGCATTCGAGGGTGAAATGTTAGATGTTCTAGAAAAAGTAGTAACAAAAACATCATTTATGACTCACACGGAACAAAACCAAGATCCGAGACAAAGGATCGCATTCGAGTTTAAGGGTGATGAATGTTTGGAACGCGAGAGCTTCAAAAAAAAAAANAAAAACAGAGAGATCAACGAAAATATGAAGAATAGATGAAAATGATCGGCAAAAGATGTCGATTTTCTAAGTAAAATAAATGATGATGGGAACTTCGTATTTAAATAGTTATAATCGATCTGTGTTCGTTACTTGCCGTACTACTTACAAGTGCCATGGTGCATATAAGCTCGCTTATGTAAAATGTTTCATTTAGGTAAGATTTCAGTACTTTATTATATAGTTAGTATTATAGTATCACTGTATTATATTGTAAGTGATACAACATTTTTGAGACCAAAGGTCAAGGCACATTTCGAGAAAAATTCTGGACGTTCAGAGTAAATCCTCTCCCAACTGACTCCCCTGACAGCTGCCCCTAAAAACGGAACACCCTTCAAAGGTGTTGGAAACAGTGAATGGATTTTCATTCTTTTCGTCCATATCTTTACCCTTTCGGGAAATGTGCCTCCAAGATTAATGGTTCGGCAATCTTCAGCCATGATACGGATCTTTGAACCATTTAAGTTGAAAGTGCTTTTTGACACTGCCCCACTTCCATCACCGAGTTCCTGCGAACGACGGTAAAGCTAAGAAAGAGCAGCCAACTTTTCCTGAGCTCTTTGGGCCCTTTTCGAGTGGCGGAATAGAGCAAAGGGAAAGCCCACCTTGATATTTGTCGTGGAGGCTTAGTATGTCCGTTGAACATAGACCAAACTAGTAATAATCTTCTCCAGTTGATGTGGGTTTTCGTTGACAGGGTTTATTAGGGTTACATTATTGAGGGAAGGGTTGGAGTGGTCTCACAGGTGATCAAGCACTACAAGGGCAAGTTATGTAGTGCAAAGTATTAAACTTTAACTTTTAAACAATCTCAGGTGATTTCTAAATTGGCCAGCTGACTAGGAATTTCTTAAATGAGCTGCATTAATATATCACACGTATTAATCGGTTTTACCGAGGGAATCAAAAATAGGAAATTTTCAGTGTTTCCATTCCTCGAACAGAAAAATCACTTTTCAACTTTTTTCCAATCATCGTTCGCATCTTAGCTCTTAACGGTCCCTGTTATGGCTGAAGGAGCCTACGTTTGACTTTTTAATACAAAATTTCGAACTTTCAGAAGATTTTCTACGGTTTTGTTTTCCTTTAGATGGTGTTTGAAAACTTCAACCAGGGTAGCGGGATGCCCTTTTTTGTGGACGTCGAGCGAAACTCGCCCTCGTTATCAAAAACTTCGATGACATATGGGAATAGATAAAAAACTCAAAAAAGTAAGGATTATATCAAAATCGATCCACCTTACGTGAATTTTTTTCTTGGATCAATAAACTTGTTGACAGTAGTAAGCAGAAAACGGCTGCAAATAGAATTGAGATTCCCCATACGAAAATAGAAAGGGACAGACTATGTTTACCAAGCTGTAGGGAAAAGATAGGAGAAGAAGAATCAGAGAAGATCGATAATTCGAAAAATGTAAAAAAATGAAATAAATGAAATTCAACAATAACAAGTGATAATGTATAATAATAGCAATAATAATATACTAGTGAATTATAGTGTAATAATGTAATAATAGTAAATATAAATGCGTAAAATAAGATAAACTATGAAAATCGTAAAAATTATAAAAATTACATCAACGAAAAAAAATGGGTTGCGGCAAAGGACTACTGAGAATATAAGTGTAGGCAGTAGTGGGTTCGTATTCTCACCTTCGTGTAGTTTTGCGAATTTGGAAAAGGGCTCGGAACATAAACCTTTCCTCAATAACTGACTTTTTTTCGTGTTAGTAATAAAATTCGGTTAATGAATAATAGATTCAATTTAAGGTCTTATAATGATTGAAAAATGCTCAAAGTTTATAAGTGATTCGTAAGGCAATGAGAATTCCGGTCTACCAGGCCCGAACTGTAAGATCAGGAATGGCCTCAGGGCAAGAGATGGGAGGCTTTGATGTGTAACGAAGCACCTTACATCAACAGCTGGACACCTTGGTTATCCTACTAGTAAGGGATCAACCTCGAGTACAATCCCCTTAAGAAAATCGAAGGAAAAGCTTTTTTTGTAGGCTTGTAAGTGCACCTTGACTGGCTCATCGCCTCGAAACCCTCAATGTTGCATTAGAACTAACCTAGCCGCTGCAAAGTTTTGGGGTCCCACGGTCCAAGCAGTCTTTTCCTTTTTTTCTCAAAAAAATGGGAGTAATCCAGACTACATCCGATTACAATTAGTCTATTTTTTCCTTGTTTATCAACAACTAAATTTATGGTAGAGTTGAGATCCGCGGTTATTTCTCGTCAGGAGCGACGCTCGCATTCCTCGCATTAGGATTGACTTTTTAAGGGCCCTACGATACCATTGGCCCTACTTCCGCTATAAAACCAAAACCAAAGGGACCGTGGTCATGATGGCGATCTTGCAAAAGCGTTCTGTGTCAAGCAGCTAAGCCCGCGCGGGAAGTGTCGATCCACACCGGGTTGGGGAAAGAGGCGGTACTTCCAGCAGCGCGCTGCGCGGAGAGACAACTAACTAGGAACCATTTATGATTAGGATAAAACGCTTGCTAATCAACCACCTTTTAATATCAAACGATCCGGGCA